GGGGCCTAGTCAGGGAACGACCATTTTACTTCAAAGGGGGGTATGTTTTTTTCCTAAAAAAAATTCTGATCCCCAATTTGATGAAAAAAAGTATTCTGTAAAAGCTTAATAAAATTGATCGCGCTGAGCGCGAAAAAAAATCTCACATCGACAAAACAACCATACCTCCACTTTTGAACGTTTGGACTGATGCTTGTAAAAAGTATATGCATTTATCATATACGTAGCTGCATTAGGGGTCCTAAATCTGTCACTGTTTTTAAATAGCAAATAAAAGGACACGGGATTTTTTTGTATTAAGGGATTGTCCGTATTTGTTATTTGTGCATTTTTAAGTTATCGTACAACAATCAACTGAGCAAAGTAAAAGAACACAGGTACGTCAGAATGGGGCTGGTAAAGAGAGTGCCACGCTGTCTGCATGATGGATTTTTCCATTTTTGGCCATATACCAATGTTGCTCTCGAAAAACCAGGACAATGTAAAATGCTGAATTTTAAGTAAAGCATTCACCTACGGAACGCTGAAAACTTAATATTTGAAAGTCAAGTAAATATAAGAACCGAAACAATTGAAGAGGCCAAAGTGAATTAAAACATATCAAAATCTATCTAAGGGCTGCTTTGCCCGAGGGAGTTGAAACCTAAGTTTCTTTGTAATTTGTATGTAAACGACCTATTTTAAATGACCGATTGTTGGTTGCCAGTGGCAAATATTTCATGCATGTTCAGGACGATAACAAATTAGCAATAAATACAACAGGGAGGGATTGTGTTTGATATTCATATGATGAATACATAAACTTTCAATTAGTTTAATTGAGGTCTGGAGCTGGCATGTCAGTAACTGCTAGTAGTCCTTTGTTAATTTATGTATCATTGTCATTTTGATTAGTTTCGTTTGTTTCCTATTCTGACATAGGACTCAGACTTCTTTTAAAGTGCGTTTCACTGTGCGTATTGCTGTGTGTTTGTTTTTCTACATTGGCTAGAGGCATAGGATGAGGGTTGAGATCTCACAAAACATGTTTAACCCAGCTGCATTTGTGCGCCTGTCCAACGTCAGGAGCCTCTGGCCTTTTTAGTCTTGTATGATTTTAATTTTAGTTCATTGTTATATTTCGGAGTTTAGTATGACGTCCATTATCACTGAACTAGTACACTTTTTTGTCTAGGGGCAAGCTGGAGCACGCCTAGCACAAAGTTCATTGCTACACAAAAAAATCAGTATTCCTTCCGTATCGATACTTGGAACTGAAATCAATAATAAAAGGCAATATATTATCGTCATGCAATCGATAAAAAATAAAAACAAAACGTTAAAAATTGCATTCGACCGACGCGTTTTTTCTTGATCTACCTTCATCAGGAACGCTCAAAAGTCGAATAATACTAGTTTGCCTACTGAGAGTTAGTCAGTTTTCACTTTTACTCCTAACTGTTGGGCGCTGGGGAAACCAAATAGCTCTGAATAATTTATCTCAAACGCTAAGCTTATATTAGAGATTTTTTTTTTAAATAAATCAACTTGTTTGATGCTGGTTTAAATAGGTTTTTACATTTTTTTAATAGATGCACAAACTTAAAAAAAATCAGGATACTGTTATCTCATGTGATGTCTAATATGTTTTATAAAAAAAACGACTTCTTCTTTCAATTATTTATTTTGTAATTAAAATTATTTGATATATTTTGTGCTTTTTATTCCTAACTAAGAATGATCATTATCAGAGCCGTGTTTACAGGTACCCCTCTTTTCGCACCTTTTTTATTTTTGATATCTTAATCAAAAATTTTTAAAAATCCAAATTTCAAAAAGTGAAATAATCAAAACTGCACGTTAAGTTTAGTACTTTTAAAGTTTGATCAAAAATCTAAACTATCAAATTTAAAAACGATATTTAGAATTTTAAAATTTTAATCATTTGGTGAAAATTTCAAAACTTTGTAAAAATTTGGAATTTTGATATTTTAAAACTTTGATAAAAATTCTAAAAATCTTAAATTTGAAAACTTTTTAAAACTTTGAATTGATAAGTGTTACACGGACCTCATCCATGCAATTACTTTGTACACAAAAAGTGTGTACTATGAAACCTTGTGAAGGGAAATTAAAGCAACTTGGTGATAATTTTTTAAACTTTCTTAAGGAAGCTGATCTATTTCGTCATGAATTGATTGATTTATTGATTATTGGTTGCTTAATGTCCTGGAGCAAATATTTCATGCATGTTCAGGACGATGTCATGAATTGAAAAATTATGTCTGAAGATATTGTGCCACCTATATATATATAAAAACATATTCTGATAAATCTTTTAGTTTTTACTTTGAAATGATAATAAAAAAAAAACACAAAACCTATAATCTCTGATCTATTGGTATTTGCTTTTTAATGCCTATCTGCTAAACTATATCTATGGGGACAATCTATCTATATGTTTCAAATTTATTATAGCTTTAGTTTTACTGTGAAATTAAAAAATATTTTCAAAACATGTAAAGCTTCCGCTGCAATTTAATTATTGCCTGCTTTTGGTCAATTTATTTGTTCATCTTACCATGTAAAAAGAACATGATTTTTTTTATTAGTTGTTAGTGGCTTTGAACTAGCTGTCAGTAACTGCGAGTACTCTCAGATCTGTACTTAGTGTCTTTTTGTTGTTTGGATGTACAAGTACCCGGCCACGTCCACTTGTATTTGTAGTATTTGTATTTTTATCCATCTGATGAGTTAAGCCTCTTTCAACTGATATTTATAGTTCGTTCTTATGTTGTACTGTAACACCACTGTCCCAGGTTAGGGGGAGGGTTGGGATCCCGCTAACATGTTTAACCCCGCCACATTCTGTATGTATGTGCCTGTCCCAAGTCAGGAGCTTGTAATTCAGTGGTTGTCGTATGTTTATGTGTTACATATTTGTTTTCGTTCATTTTTATGGCCCCGACAACAAAAGTTGTCGGGGCCATATAGTCTTACCCTTGTCCGTCATTCCGTCATTCTGTCTTTCCGTCTTTTCGTCATTCTGTCATTCCGTCATTCCGCAACAAACCATTATACGGACTTTTTTTCTAAACGCCTTCAGATATTGGGCTGATTTTTGGTATGTGAGTTAACCATGATGAATTACAGATCAAGTTCAAGTTTCGTTCCGCTCTGCTAATTTTTGCCGAAATTACGGGCTTTGGACTTTGATAGATTGTTGAAAATCACAGTTATACGGACTTTCATTCTAAACGCCTTCAGATTTTGCGCTGATTTTTGGTATGTGAGGTTAACACGATGAGTTACAGATCAAGTTTAAGTTTCGTTCTGCTCTGCTAATTTTTGGCCGAAATTACGGGTTTTGGACTTTGAAAATTGTTGAAAATCACAGTTATACAGACTTTTTTCTACACGCCTTCAGATTTTGCGCTGATTTTTGGTATGTGAGGTAACCATGATGAGTTACAGATCAAGTTTAAGTTTCGTTCCGCTCTGCTAACTTTTGCCGAAATTACGGGCTTTGGACTTTGATTAATTGTTGAAAATCACAGTTATACGGACTTTTTTTATTGGGCTAATTTTTGGTATGTAAGGTAACCATGATGAGTTACAGATCAAGTTTAAGTTTCATTTCGTTTGAAATTTAATAACTAATTGATCAAGGAAATTTTTCATCAAACTAGTATTGGTCTTGAGAGCTGGATACTATCCATGCATGTTTGTGTCCACATGTGTTGTTGAAATTGCAGATTTTAAAACTGAGACGGGGCCATTCGTGTCGTTTCGACACATCTAGTTTGTACATAAATTAGGCCGTTAGTTTTCTCGTTTGAATTGTTTTATATTGTCATTTCAGGGCCTTTTATAGCTGACGTTGGCTGTGCGGTATGGGCTTTGCTCATTGTTGAAGGCCGTACGGTGACCTATAGTTGTTAATTTCTGTGTCATTTGGTCTCTTGTGGAGAGTTGTCTCATTGGCAATCATACCACATCTTTTTTATATTAAGTAAAACACCGCTGTATATCAATATACATACTTACACCAGCAGCTACCATCTTTTCATTCTGGAGTCAAGGGCCTTTTGAAATCACATATTTTACAATGATACTAGTGAGTAGTTTTACAAAACTTCGTTAATAAGCTCCGTTTTACAAACACCTGTGATACAAGTAGTCAGCCAAAATAAACTATCAATAGACCAATTTAAAGATTACTCGAGTTGTAAATATGTGCTAAATTGGATAGTCTATGAAAAGATATATATACTATGAAATTAAGAGCTCGGGGCAAGCCCCTCGCTCTAAATTTCATAGTATATACCTTTTCATAGACTAACCTAGACGTAATCGATTTAACGTCTAGTTGACGCCATGGGTTTTACTACTTGAATATATATAGGAAAGTCCACTGATGAACATATTTCTACACCGAAGTCAAACATTGTGGTTACCATGAGTAAACAATGTTAGACAAACAACATGGTCAAAAGAAAGGAAAAATGACGACAGAGTAAACAATGTCAGACAAACCACATGGTCAAAAGAAAGGAAAATTGACGGCAAAGTAAACAATGTCAGATAAACAACATGATCAAAAGAAAGGAAAATTGACGGCAAAGTAAACAATGTCAGATAAACCACATGGTCAAAAGAAAGGAAAAATGACGACAAAGTAAACAATGTCAGATAAACAACATGATCAAAAGAAAGGAAAAATGACGACAGAGTAAACAATGTCAGACAAACCACATGGTCAAAAGAAAGGAAAAATGACGACAGAGTAAACAATGCCAGACAAACAACATTGTCAAAAGAAAGGAAAAATGACGACAAAGTAAACAATGTCAGATAAACAACATGATCAAAAGAAAGGAAAAATGACGACAGAGTAAACAATGTCAGACAAACCACATGGTCAAAAGAAAGGAAAATTGACGGCAAAGTAAACAATGCCAGACAAACAACATGGTCAAAAGAAAGGAAAATTGACGGTAAAGTAAACAAAAAAACTAAGCTTTATATGTTTTCCACATACACATTTTGTTTATTTTGTTTATAGCACAATATATTGGAATGCATATAAGTACATTTAATTTAACAATTCAATTAAAAATTTTAGCAACAATCTAAAGCCACAAATTGTTCATCTTACAATACATTTTTATGGAAGACAGTAAAATAAGGAAGAATAGTTCAAAACAATAGTTTCTCAATCAAAACAGCTAAAATCGTTCAATTATATTTTCACAGATACCGTTTCAATTAATCAACTTTGTTTATTCTTCAATGTGCACATACATAAACATTGTGCAAAATTGGCTTAATCAACAATCACCCTGGCATACCCTCATACATTGTACACATATAAACAACAGTAAAATGAAAATTTAGACATGCAACATTATTTACTTACTTATCCTCTTCATCCCGAATGGTACATAAGGCTAAGACATGCAACATACAATGGAGTTATTTTAAATATCGGTTATAAATGACTAGAAAATGCCAACTTACGGAAGAACTGTATTGCTTCATGTCAAAAAAAAAAGAAAGTAGCTAAAGGATCCTTAAAATTATATCACATTATATTTTGAAGACATCACATAAATATATAACATACATTTGCACATGACCATAACAATCAGACAGAACAGTAACTTGTCCATAATATGCATAACATACTAGTCAAATCTAGATACGAGTCTCCATTAAAGCAATGTGTACTAGAAAGAAGGAAATTACCCTTGCTATTATTTGTAGGAATGTAAAAGCACCATTATAATATTTCATATTCAGATAGATGATGATGATGATGATGATGATGATGATGATGATGATGATAATGTACATAAGGCAATATTTAAAGTTTGTTAGCACCTGAAAGCATTTTGCATTTAAGACATAATTAATCTGAGTAGCATTTTCCTTGAAAATGCTCTCTGTATACCCATCTTTCTATGTCCAGAATCTATATTTTTCTGGTCCTTCTTATATGAGTGTTACGTACGCTTCTATGATTCTCCAGAACTTATGGATGAACGTAGACCTCTCTGCTGTGACGTTTTCCATCTGCTGATCTAAGTAAAGTAAAATGACTGACATTAAACAGTTTTTCTGAAAACGCATTGAACATAGCTGTGAACAACGCTTCCCTTTGGTATATGTATAAAATCTCCTTTATGTAGTATCTTTGCTGGTTTGATAGTACTACACTTTGAAAATTTGACAATACACAGGCCTAAAGAAGGTGTCATAAACCAATAAGGGTTTTAAATGAATTTTATGTCAAAGGCTAGGATATAATAATAATTAAATATGTAGGTGGACACCCTGCAAATTTCAGCAGCCTAGAAAGACCGTGTAATCTAAAAATGTCTGCTTTTTTATTTGACGCACTAGAAAAAATGTCCGTTTTTAAGGAACAAAAATTTCATTTTCCTACAAAAAGGAATTCTAAACAGCAGTCCTACAAGAAATTAAAGAATACATGCTCAAACCGGTACTAGGGACCGTCTTTAACTTGCAGTGAGGTGAGATTTGTTTGGCTCCGTGTTGAAGACCTTACTGTGGGATGAAAAACAGCAATAAAAAGGCGGTTCCTTAACTCTTTGTGTCTTTTGCTGTGCACGTACAGATATTGTGGAGGGATACCCCATATGGTTTATTTTTCTTTCATTTCACCTTGATTAGATCGTACGCTTTCTTAACTGTTATGTATCTTTTTGTTAAATTATTGTGGTCACCTGCTGTCTGTCGGTCTTCGAATTAAGGTACAATGTATCGCTTACGAAGATTTTCAAACTGAAGATACTTACAACGTTCGTAAAATAATTGTTTCTGTTATTCGTTCTCCTCCTTTTACCCTGGACCAGACTAGAGGCTGACTACCTGTATTCACACTATATTCTATTGGAAGTCCTGGGAACACAGATGCAACATGCAAGATTCCGTCTTTGATTCTAAAGTACATGTATCACAGCATAAATAAGCTTTAAATGAAATAATTGATTTACACTTTACAGATCACAAACCAATTATCAATATTGTTAGGCACTGGCTACGGTTACATGGAAATGTAACAATAAAATAAAAATTACTGTTACATTGGAGACTAATTGTCGGAATGCAGGGTTGGGTAAAGAACCGATTAATTACGAATGTAACAATAATATTTGGGTCTACGGTTACATTGCGTTATTGTTACATTAAAGACTGCAATGTATGATAGATTTATTAAACTTAAACAATCTATAGTTATGTTGCTTAATTCTTCGATATGTACTAGATAATATTAATAATAATAATATTATTCAGCGAATAAGTATTGATTGTTTTGGTGTTGTTAAAAATCATGACTACTACAGTTTAGTTCAATATCACTATTGATGAATACTTAATGAACTATTCAATAGAGCATGTACTGTCACGACTGATAAGATCACAAAATATCTGGACTCTGAAAATGAAAACACTGTTTCCACCAATTTCAATCTGTCGGCAAATGTCAACATTAATTGCTTTCACAATTGACTTGTATTTAAACAACCTAACATGCTTCCAAAAAAAATATTGGACGAAAATGTAAACATCGCAAGAGTAACAAAATATTTTTCACCTGAAGCATATATGGCATTCAGACATTGAAAGTTTCTTAAACTTCATGAAGGGAAAATGCAGAATGGAATTGTACGGTATGCAATATAGAGCGTGCACATTGCCGTTTCACTGGTTTGTGATAGCTGCTTAGAGTGGTTTCACCGAAAATGCGTCGGACTAAAACATGCTCCAAAAACAACATACTGGATTTGTAGAAACTGTCATTGTAAATAAAAAATCAAAATATTGTATGCAATATTGTAAATATCAAATAAAAGTTTTCAACTTTTATTTTAATACATATTTATTACTATTCCTATTTTACATTGCAGTGCGTTAATGTAACAATAACGCAATGTAACCGTAGACCCAAATATTATTGTTACTTTCGTAACTAATCGGTTCCTTACCCAACCCTGCATTCCGGCAATTAGTCTCCAATCATTCCTTATCGGATGTGAATAAATCTTAAACAAAACAATACGAGTGTTCAGTGTTTTACTGTTAGAGAAAGGTCAAACGAAACAACACGTGTGTTCAGTGTGTCACTGCTAAGGAAAATTAAAATAACAAGCGTTTTCAGTTTATCCTTCTTTTTTGTATGTTTTGGTTGCTGCTCATTCAAGTTAACCTGTTTTCTTCTTTTCATCACACTTACATTGCACCTGGAGGGGGTACACGATACTTCACGTGCATTCTGTCCAATTTGGGGAGTTCCCTATAGGAAAGACTGTTGGCAAACTTTATCCAATCACGTTCAAACTCTGTCTTATCCCCTGTTGTTTCCCATTCTTCCCTATGCCATGCCCGCTCAGCCATTGCTTGTAGACGTGGGTATGTCATGTAGTCAAATTGTTCTTTTGTTCTGATTAATTCAGTCCACAGCTGAGCTTGCATGCCTGATATGAACAAAAATAGAGATAGCTGAACATGCATTATTCATCTAAAGTATTCATATCCTTTTTTGAGAGATATCTAATAGTAACGTGACTGATACACACCAAAAGGTAATGCAAACAATAACAAACTCACATGCAAGTATAAGACCGTTGTTTGTGGAAAAATAAAACTTGCAATTGCATCTCTGACCATTTCTTTGACCAGTGGAGCAAACACTGAGCTGTTCAAACTCTTTATGGGACCATCAAAATACATTTAAATATGCTACTTGTTCTGTGAAAGAAATAGCCCCTTCAGCGTTTTCCAATCTATATGCTTTATATAGATATAAGAAGATGTGGTATGAGTGCCAAAATAAATTACATATGATTTTATTCTTATAAATACTTCAATTCAATGAATACCAACCACTTACCTACAATATTTTCTGGTTTGTCCAGGGAACCATAACCTTTTTTGCCTTTAAATGGATCAAACCCAAATACCATTTTAGTATTGATATATCTAGTAGCCCAGTATAAACCCCTTTCCTCTGGATCTGGTTCATAAGGATGATCAAAATATAGAAAGGCTCCTCGGCAATTCACCACCTGAAATAAAACAATTCGTCCATATTTATAACCATCTCTTAATTGTAATCTTTTAAGAAAAAACTTTAAAATATAAAACTATCCGTACTAACTACTAAGAACAAGTAGAATCTTGGGTTATTCCTTACACGTCTGGAAACCATTATTCCTATAATTGTCAAACAAGTTTTCACCATTTGATAAAATTGAGAATAGAAATGGGGAATGTGTCAAAGAGACAACAACCCGACCAAAGAGCAGCAAACAGCCCAAGGCCACTAATGGGTCTTTAACTCAGCGAGAAAATTCCGCACTCGGATGCGGAACTTTCTTTGTTTCTGCAGCCAAAGATGACGTCAGTACAAACTTTGTAGATTTTTTTATTATAAGTCTTTTTTATTCTCTATATGTATGCAACTTTAAATAGAAAATGTTTTTGCATACTTCAGTCTGTAGGTATGATAAAGGGAGACAACTCTTTAATTCAGTAATGCGTTTGTAATAGTCAGTTTCATTAATTCTCGTTTATGCGCTCATAGAAACAGATTTGAAATATTCGGTGTTAATAAAAAGCTTTCAAAATAATGAATATGGTTAACAAAAACGTACCAGTGATTTTTAAGAGTTGTGTTCTTTTCCTTAGGTCAACATTTGAAGGTCAACCTTCCGTTGAAATCACTTATTAGATAATTTGACATGTAGTAAGCTTAAGAAAATATTCGTAAGGGTTCCGCAGAACCCAGTGTCTCGCCTATTTTTGCTGTTAATCGCAGGCTCAACAAAAACGAGGAAAAAAAAAATAAAAAATATTCCTCTCGATACTATCTTTTGATTGTAAGAAGCTTCTGTCCAAGTTTAGTAAAAATCCAGGATAGTTTATGAATCTAATAAATGTTTTAAAAACTTTAACTGCAGACTGTATGTAATGTTAACTGGAAGAAAAATTAAGTCCATTTATAAGTAAAATACAGAAAAACAGGAACAAAATTTCCTTCTAGATACTAGCTTTTGATCATAAACAAGCTTCTGTCCAAGTTTGGTACAAATCCAGGATAGTTTAAGTAAGTTATTGAAATTTTAAAAACTTTAACCACAGAGTGAATGTAATTTGTCCTGGCACATGTGGCAGAAAAACTAAGTCCATTTATAAGTAAAATACGGAAAAAATGGATTTTTTTTAATACAAAATTTACTTCTGGATACTATCTTATGATCATAAACAAGCTTATGTCCTAGTTTGGTAGAAATCCAGGATAGTTTCTGAAATTTATTAAAATTTTAAAAACTTTAACCACAGAGTGAATGTAATGTTTCCTGGCAGAAAAACTAAATCCATTTATAAGTAAAATACGGAAAAAATGGAATTTTTTTTTTACAAAATTTACTTCTGGATACTATCTTATGATCATAAACAAGCTTATGTCCTAGTTTGGTAGAAATCCAGGATAGTTTCTGAAAGTTATTAAAATTTTAAAAACTTTAACCACAGAGTGAATGTAATGTTTCCTGGCAGAAAAACTAAATCCATTTATAAGTAAAATACGGAAAAAATGGAATTTTTTTTTTACAAAATTTACTTCTGGATACTATCTTATGATCATAAACAAGCTTCTGTCCTAGTTTGGTAGAAATCCAGGATAGTTTAAAAAAGTTATCAAAATTTAAAAAACTTTAACCACAGAGTGAATGTAATGTTTCCTGGCAGAAAAACTAAGTCCATTTAGAGGTAAATTACGGAAAAAAATGGATTTTTTTTTTTTACAAAATTTACTTCTGGATACTATCTTATGATCATAAACAAGCTTCTTTCCAAGTTTGGTAGAAATCCAGGATAGTTTAAGAAAGTTATTAATATTTCAAAAACTTTAACCATAGAGTGAATATTTGTGGACGCCGCCGCCAACGACGACGACGACGACGCCGACGACGACGGAATGTAGGATCGCTACGTCTCGCTTTTTCGACAAAAGTCGAAGGCTCGACAAAAATGTAAATGACGACTGCTCACCTTGTATCCTGCATTTGCTACTTTAAACAAGGCTTTATTCGTTTCTGTCCATACAAAGGCATACAAGTCTCTGAAAGAAAAGATAAGCTGTGAGCGTCTGTATAATCTGTATGTATAATACTATGAATGCAAAAGCGCTGACAATTAAATAAAACAGGATATAACACAGACATACTAATTGTCATGTTTTTAACACCAGGTGAGTATTGCCGAAATAATTCAAATGGTAATAATGTTGTCTTGACAGCAGCTAATTTTCAAGATGTACACAAAAAACTAGATAAAAAATTTAGAACTGAGACTTTATAACATGATTATAAAAGTAAGACTCACTGTAATTTATGTACATATATATACCTTGCTTTCACACCCAAACTTTCCAAAGAATGTGGTGATTTATCTTTATTCAAAAGTCCGTCCTCCCAAGCAGCATACGACAACTCTTTAAATTTGGTATTACCAACAATTCGCTCGATGAAGTATTGCTTTATATCATTTCGATTTACAGAACATTTCATGTCATGCATGGCACGTGCTGGTACCTCGTCTCCTCCAAAGTGAAACAAGGTCAAAGGTTGTATATCCTTGTGTATGGATACGAGTGTTCTCAGCACTACATCAATGAAGTTATACAGACCTTGACGACATGGGTTAGCAGAGTTGTCGTTGAATCCCTGAGCAGTGCGATAATTATTGCCATCTTCTTTGTCTGTCATTTTATACAAGTCTCCTTCTTCTTTGTGATTTTGTTGACGCAGTGTAATCGATTTTAGTGCTGCGCGCATGTGACTCGGCATATCAATTTCCGGTATAATTTGAATATGGCGTCGATTGGCATATTCTAGGATTTCTTGATAATCTTTGACAGTATAATAGCCAGAACCAAGACTGGTTTTGTGAGGTCCAGAACCCAGTGAAGGCATCAGACATATAGTTTCATTCTCGTCGTGACATCTGTTTGAACCAAGCTATAACATAGAAATAAATAAAATCAAAAAAAATGTTTGATAAAAAAATTATAAGTACGTGCAAAACGAATGAGATGTGGTATGGTTGTCAATGAGACAAACTATCCACCAGAGTTCAAATGATTTAGATTTAAGGCATGGTTTATTTGTACCTTATAATCTTATATTTAGGAATTCATGCATCACATTTTCCCCTTTTCTTTGTACTTTTATGCATTGCAGTTTACCATATATGAAATGGGAAACGTGTTGAAGACCTATAATGGTTTACTTTTATAAATTTCGACTTAGATGGAGAGTTGTCTCATTGGCACTCATACCACATCTTCTTATATCTATTTGCTAATCGTAGTAGGCCATGAGATGACCTGTAGATGTTTTCATCTTTTCTTTTGCAAATCTATAGCTATAGTGGGTTTCCTTTACAAATCTATAGCTATAGTGGGTTTCTTTTGCAAATCTATAGCTATAGTGGGTTTCTTTTACAAATCTATAGCTATAGCGGGTTTCCTTTACAAATCTATAGCTATGGTGGGTTTCCTTTACAAATATATAGCTATAGTGGTTTTTTTTTGCAAATCTATAGCTATAGTGGTTTTTTTTTGCAAATCTATAGCTATAGTGGGTTTCCTTTACAAATCTATAGCTATAGTGGGTTTCCTTTACAAATCTATAGCTATAGTGGGTTTCTTTTGCAAATCTATAGCAATAGTGGGATGTTTTCTCATCGATAATCATGGCAAGTCTCCTTTTACTATTTATTATTTGATATAGTATTTTCACAGACGATATTATGTTATTATTAAGACTGTGTTGTCACTTCATGTGTATATGAGAACCATAAAAGTCGAATATAATCCGCATTTATATTCAATCCGCACATCCTTTTTCGCCACGGGAATTCAGGAAAATAACTTGGTTCTTCATTCACGGTCGTTTGCGATATTTGTCTGTTCGGTGTTCAATAATAAAAATACTTATAACACTAAACGATACACAATCATGACAGACGGCCATCGACTACAACCACTGATCTACAACCTTCTGCCTTGGTATAGGCATACAAATAAAGCATGTTTGTGAGGATTCAACTCTTCAATTAATCAGGACAACGGTGTAATAACACAACTTCAGAACAAACCATAACAATCAGATTGAGAAGGATAAACTCATCAGATCGAGACTAATAAAATAAGAATAGAAGTAAAAAGACAAAGATTGTACTCACTTTTGTAAGTTCTGGTATCTCAGGAATTTGTATTCTCCACCCATCGTCGTCTGACAAATGGAGATGTAATTTATTTAGTTTGTATATAGCCATTATATCCAGTAACTCCTTTATTGTTTCTTTCCCATGAAAATTTCTAGACAAGTCAACCATATATCCTCGATATGTAAACCTTGGTCTGTCCTTTATATGTACATCTTGTAAAGACCTCGCATTGGAATGGACTGATTCGTCAACCAAGCTAAGTAATGATTGCAAACCATTAAAGGCACCATGATTTGTAGGTGCTGTGATGGATATTTTCCGTGCTTCGGCATCGACTCGCAATTCGTAAGCTTCATCATTATCTTCTCGGATATTTTTATGGAATGTTGGCGATCCTTTAGTAAACTGAATGAATTTGTCATTATCTGTTTTCTGTGCTATCTTCATCCCAAGTTTATCTAAAGAAATACTATAAACATATTATTTCAAAACAGTTTCTCCTAGAGCTGGTGCGTTGGCAGGTACGACATTGTATTCTATTTAAATCTTAAAATACGGTTTGTAAAAATTGATAAACATAATAATGCAACATGTTTACAGAGACCAACGGCCGAGGTTAATATGAAGACAAAAAAATCCTATAAATCCATTGCTTCGAACTTCAATATGAAATGCAACATGATGATAACGAAGTCTTTTTTAACATGTTTAAAATAATTTACTTACCAGCTAGAAACTGGACTTCGGATGGAAAATCAACAGAACTCAATATAATCCATTTGGAAGTATCAAATACAACCGACTTTTTCGACACATGGACTTCCTCCGGCGTTGGTATGATAATTTTCCCTGTTTTACCTAGATCCTCAAAACTGTGTTTGCTCATATTGTATCGATCCTTCGCAGTATACGGATTATGTCTATCTTCTTTACTTCTCTTCCACTGATGGGGGTGATTAAAAGAGGAAACAAATTTCAAATCTTCTCCCTCGGTACTTTTGATAATCTGTGGGGATGAATTAGGACCAGTTACATACCAGTTTGGAAATGCGTCAGTTTTAGACAGTTGGAAATGTGATGACATTATCGGAATCGATAACTCTTCGGAAGGTTTTAATGGTTTAAATAATACACTATCTGGAAATATGTAATACGACAGACCGGAAACATGCGAAATTCTCAGGCCTGATTGTCCCAGAAGAACATTGTGTTGATATCTGTCGTCAACCATTTCTAGTAATGGTTCTACTATCCGAATGTGATGAAAGTAAATTTTCCACGATTTATCTTTTATAGTATGTGTACCAGTATTTTTAAAAACTAACATATGTTTGGCATGCGTATGTAGATTTTCTTTCACAGTCCATCGGACATCTAGGTATTGAGCAATATAGTCTATTTTCTCTTGCGGTGTTTGGTTATCTGCTGAAAAAATACTATAGCTCAGAAAATTGTGTTAATATTGACGTAAGCAAATATTTTTATATCTGTAACTCCGTATGTTTTCAATCCTGAACTGACTTAGTTTGAACAATTTTTTATTCACCACACTTTGGTTTAACTTTGTATAATGTACCACCATGTATCCCTTCAGAACATTGCACTCGATATTTTCCTTATCCCCTTTGATTAATCGTTTAAAATACTCTTCCACTCTATACAGTTAAATATTCCAATTTTACACTGTTCCGCAAGTCTCGAATCATTAAAACTAATGTTTGGAGAGAAAGTCTATAGAGTAGTGATTATGCAATTTTTCTTTTAAATATGTGGATATTAATAAAAGTTGATATACTGACATATTCAATTAAAATGCACGCATATGTCCATGTTCAGATTACGTTTTTGAACGCATGTTTTCATATGATAAATATAATTCTTGCATTTTCAACACTAATGGTATATATTACCGTTGAAATACATTGTAAAAGTGAGGACGGATATCACTCGAGGCAGGGGTAAATGTCTTCTCATTGGCGTATAGATCATAATTTCTCAATTTCATTAAAATTAAATCTCCGCACTCGCTCATTTTGTTTATGCTTGGTCGCTGCATATATTTCTGAACTCTGCAACTCAAGTAGATAGCATATAAATGTATTGACAGGTTTCAGTGGGCACGATGCGTTTGTTTTCTAGAATAAGCCTTAAAATCCAATTCTAGACTTTGAGAAGCCCTAGAATACAGACGACTTTCGGAAGCCACAGAATTATAAAGAGACGACCAAAACTAAATGACACAACGTAAAAAAAAATACTGGTACATGTACGTTTGTGTCAATTATTTTCATATATATGTTTTGATAAAAAAAGAAAAAAAAAAATTTGTTCTCACACTAACTTTAATAAATCATTAATAATATTTTCTACTACAAACTTCTTACTGATTTAAAGAGCTATAGACTCCAAGCAACTAAGACTGCCGAATGATCTCGGACAAGAGAGTTCAAATATTAATTCAAAAATATTGTACAATTACGCTAACTTTTAAAACTGACAACTCTTTTTGTGTTTAGGAGATAATGTATTTAGCTTGATACAGGCCTTTACTAATATTATACACCGGATGCATGGCTACTAATATATTACTATAACTTTAATCATATTTTGACAATGTATAGTCAATGCTATGTCGAAGATTTTTCTATTAATTTTTTATTTATACTCACCATCGATTACATTGCTAAAATAATAAAATATATAAAATGAATTTATATTATGATGTATATAATATATAGCATATACTTTTGCAAATACAAAGAGATATTTCCAGGGACACAGGTCATTGAGAAGTCAACAAAACAGAGTGGTAATCAGAGACTTCAACAAAACAGTGCGGTAATCAGAGACTTCAACAAAACAGTGCGGTAATCAGAGACTTCAACAAAACAGTGTGGTTATCAGAGACTTCAACAAAACAGTGCGGTAATCAGAGACTTCAACAAAACAGTGCGGTAATCAGAGACTTCAACAAAACAGTGCGGTAATCAGAGACTTCAACAAAACAGTGCGGTAATCAGAGACTTCAACAAAACAGTGCGGTAATCAGAGACTTCAACAAAACAGTGCGGTAATCAGAGACTTCAACAAAAGGCATGTGTCCCTGCAATATGTCAAGACTTAAATCATATAATTTAAATTATAGTTTAGACCAAAAATGTATATTTTAGTTTCCTGCCTACTGTCAGAAAAAAAACAGTATTAGATAGGTACGTAAAACGATTTTTTATATTTTAAGATATTTTACATAGTATAGAGAATAGAGAATGGAACGGGGGCATGTGTAAACGAGACAACAACCCGACCAAAGAGCAGAAAACAACTTAAGACCACCTATGCAGCAAGAAAATCCCGCACCCAGAGGCGGGCTGCAGCTGGCCCATAACAATAATGTATACTAGATCAGCGAAATAGACGCCACAGCAAACTCCAAAACATACAAATGAACCAAAATTTAGAAAACACAAGACTAACAAAGGCTAGAAGTTCCTGACTTGGGACTATACATGGAACCTTTCTGGACTTAAATAATGCTTATTGAAAGTGTCAATAATTTATCAATGCATAAAACAGTTTGCATACATTATGTTAGGGTAGGCATGAACATTTAGGGTAGGTAGGGAAGCAGGAAATACAGATATATTTATTTGGCCTTATTGTAAATCGTCCATTAGGCATTAAAACAAAATCCACAAAGGACAAAACATTTAGCTATTACTATACGAAACATATGACGAGATTCCTGATTAGAAGTAGCAAATAAATATATGAGAAGAGGCAAAACTAGTTTTTGACCAATCAACCTCTTAGTTAACCTTTTTCAATCTTAAGAAGAAACAGCAAACGGGTACATAGAAGAAATCGAATTGAAAGTCCAATATTTTTTTAAATAGATTCTAACGGTTTTGCATAATTAGAAGTAAAGGAAATGGTGTGTGTGTGTTTATGGTGCTATATCACAACAAGAACCTGTCAAAATTAAATGCAATTTGAAAGATACTTTATTGCTGGTCTCCGTCTTACGATGAGTTTATTTTTTACATAAAGCGAACGTCCAAATACCAGTGCCTCAATATAACAATACATATATAACGCAATATTATGGCTATCTTTAACAATTGAAGACAAAAAATAAAAAAAGAACTTCATTTCCAACTAATTTTTAGAGTTTGTTTTTATGTTGTACTGTAACATCACTCTCTGAGGTCAAAATGATGGATGAGCGCTTACAAAAATGTTTAACTTGCCGCTTTCTATGCAAGTCAGGAGCCTGTAACTCAGTGTTTGTCGTTGGTTTTTGTCTGTCAAAATTGTTTGTCGTTTATTGTAAAGTCATAAATTCGGCCGGTTGTCTTTTTCGTTTGAATTGTTTCACATTTTGCCATGTTGGGCCTTGAATAGCTGATTATACTGTACAATGTACGGTATTGGCTTTGCTCATTGACAAAGGCCGTATGGCATTGCATGTATGCTTCAATTCACGTCGTCTGAACTCTGGTGGATGCGATATGGTTGTCTCATTGGCAATCATACCACATATCCCCATGTTTATGCTAGTATGTGTGGTTGTCTCATTCGCAATCATACCACATCTCCCCCTGTGTATGCTAGTATGTGTGGTTGTCTCATTGGCAATCATACCACATCTCCCAATGTTTATGCTAGTACGTGTGGTTGTCTCATTGGCAATCATACCACATCTCCCCATGTTTATGCTAGTACGTGTGGTTGTCTCAGTGGCAATCATACAACAGCTCCCTATGTGTATGCTAGTACGTGTGGTTGTCTCATTGGCAATCATACCACATCTCCCAATGTTTTTGCTATTACGTGTGGTTGTCTCATTGGCAATCATACCACGCCCCAATGTTTTTGCTATTACCTGTGGTTGACTCATTGGCAATCATACTACATCTCCCCATGTGTATGCTAGTACGTGTGGTTGTCTCATTGGCAATCATACCACATCTCCCCATGTTTATGCTAGTACGTGTGGTTGTCTCATTGGCAATCATACCACATCTCCCAATGTGTATGCTAGTACGTGTGGTTGTCTCATTGGCAATCATACCACATCTCCCAATGTTTTTGCTATTACGTGTGGTTGACTCATTGGCAATCATACCACATCTCCCCATGTGTATGCTAGTACGTATGGTTGTCTCATTGGCAATCATACCACATCTCCCAATGTTTTTGCTATTACATGTGGTTGACTCATTGGCAATCATACCACATCTCCCCATGTGTATGCTAGTACGTGTGGTTGTCTCATTGGCAATCATACCACATCTCCCAATGTTTTTGCTATTACGTGTGGTTGACTCATTGGCAATCATACCACAACTCCCATTGTGTATGCTAGTACGTGTGGTTGTCTCATTGGCAATCATACCACATCTCCATATGTTTTTGCTATTACGTGTGGCTAACTCATTGGCAATCATACCACATCTCCCCATGTGTATGCTATTACGTGTGGTTGACTCATTGGCAATCATACCACATCTCCCAATGTGTATGCTAGTGCGTGTGGTTGTCTCATTGGCAATCATACCACATCTCCCCATGTGTATGCTAGTGGTTGTCTCATTGGTTATCATACCATATCTCCCAATGTTTATGCCAGTACGTGTGGTTGTCTCATTGGCAATCATACCACATTCCCCCATGTTTATGCTAGTACGTGTGGTTGTCACATTGGCAATCATACCACATCCCACAATTTGTATGCTAGTACGTGTGGTTGTCTTATTGGCAATCATTCCACATCTCCCCATGTTTATGCTTGTACGTGTGGTTGTCTCATTGGCAATCATACCACATCTCCCCATGTTTATGCTCGTACGTGTGGTTGCCTCATGGCAATCATACCACATCTCCCCATGTGTATGCTAGTACGTGTGGTTGTCTCATTGGCAATCATAACACATCTCCCAATGTTTTTGCTATAACGTGTGGTTGACTCATTGGCAATCATACCACATCTCCCCATGTGTATGCTAGTAAGTGTGGTTGTCTCATTGGCAATCATACCACATCTCCAAATATTTTTGCTATGACGTGTGGTTGACTCATTGGCAATCATACCACATCTCCCCATGTGTATGCTATTACGTGTGGTTGACTCATTGGCAATCATACCACATCTCCCAATGTGTATGCTAGTGCGTGTGGTTGTCTCATTGGCAATCATACCACATCCCACAATTTGTATGCTAGTACGTGTGGTTGTCTTATTGGTAATCATACCACATCTCCCCATGTTTATGCTTGTACGTGTGGTTGTCTCATTGGCAATCATACCACATCTCCTCATGTTTATGCTCGTACGTGTGGTTGCCTCATGGCAATCATACCACATCTCCCCATGTGTATGCTAGTACGTGTGGTTGTCTCATTGGCAATCATACCACATCTCCCCTTGTGCATGCTAGTATGTGTGGTTGTCTCATTGGCAATCATACCACATCTCCCCATGTTTATGCTTGTACGTGTGGTTGTCTCATTGGCAATCATACCACATCTCCCCATGTTTATACTAGTATATGTGGTTGTCTCATTGGCAATCATACCACATCTCCTCATGTTTATGCTAGTACGTGTGGTTGTCTCATTGGCAATCATACCACATCTCACCATGTGTATGCTAGTGCGTGTGGTTGACTCATTGGCAATCATACCATATCTCCCCATGTTTATGCCAGTACGTGTGGTTGTCTCATTGGCAATCATACCACATCTCCCCATGTGTATGCTAGTACGTGTGGTTGCCTCATGGCAATCATACCACATCTCCATATGTGTATGCTTGTACGTGTGGTTGTCTCATTGGCAATCATACCACATCTCCCCATGTTTATGCTCGTACGTGTGGTTGCCTCATTGGCAATCATATCACATCTCCCCGTGTTTATGCTTGTACGTGTGGTTGTCTCATTGGCAATCATACCACATATCCCCATGTTTATGCTAGTACGTGTGGTTGTCTCATTGGCAATCATACCACATCTCCCCATGTTTATGCCAGTACGTGTGGTTGTCTCATTGGCAATCATACCACATCCCACCATTTTTATGCTAGTACGTGTGGTTTTCTTATTGGCAATCATACCACATCTCCCCATGTTTATGCTTGTACGTGTGGTTGTCTCATTGGCAATCATACCACATCTCCCCATGTTTATGCTAGTACATGTGGTTGTCTCATTGGCAATCATACCACATCTCCCCATGTTTATGCTTGTACGTGTGGTTGCCTCATTGGCAATCATATCACATCTCCCCGTGTTTATGCTTGTACGTGTGGTTGTCTCATTGGCAATCATACCACATCTCCCCATGTGTATGCTATTACCTGTGGTTGACTCATTGGCAATCATACTACATCTCCCCATGTGTATGCTAGTACGTGTGGTTGTCTCATTGGCAATCATACCACATCTCCCCATGTTTATACTAGTATATGTGGTTGCCTCATGGCAATCATACCACATCTCCCCATGTTTATGCTTGTACGTGTGGTTGCCTCATGGCAATCATACCACATCTCCCCATGTTTATGCTAGTACGTGTGGTTGTCTCATTGGCAATCATTCCACATCTCCCCATGTTTATGCTTGTACGTGTGGTTGTCTCATTGGCAATCATACCACATCTCCCCATGTTTATGCTCGTACGTGTGGTTGCCTCATGGCAATCATACCACATCTCCCCATGTGTATGCTAGTACGTGTGATTGTCTCATTGGCAATCATAACACATCTCCCAATGTTTTTGCTATAACGTGTGGTTGACTCATTGGCAATCATACCACATCTCCCCATGTGTATGCTAGTAAGTGTGGTTGTCTCATTGGCAATCATACCACATCTCCAAATATTTTTGCTATGACGTGTGGTTGACTCATTGGCAATCATACCACATCTCCCCATGTGTATGCTATTACGTGTGGTTGACTCATTGGCAATCATACCACATCTCCCAATGTGTATGCTAGTGCGTGTGGTTGTCTCATTGGCAATCATACCACATCCCACAATTTGTATGCTAGTACGTGTGGTTGTCTTATTGGTAATCATACCACATCTCCCCATGTTTATGCTTGTACGTGTGGTTGTCTCATTGGCAATCATACCACATCTCCTCATGTTTATGCTCGTACGTGTGGTTGCCTCATGGCAATCATACCACATCTCCCCATGTGTATGCTAGTACGTGTGGTTGTCTCATTGGCAATCATACCACATCTCCCCTTGTGCATGCTAGTATGTGTGGTTGTCTCATTGGCAATCATACCACATCTCCCCATGTTTATGCTTGTACGTGTGGTTGTCTCATTGGCAATCATACCACATCTCCCCATGTTTATACTAGTATATGTGGTTGTCTCATTGGCAATCATACCACATCTCCTCATGTTTATGCTAGTACGTGTGGTTGTCTCATTGGCAATCATACCACATCTCACCATGTGTATGCTAGTGCGTGTGGTTGACTCATTGGCAATCATACCATATCTCCCCATGTTTATGCCAGTACGTGTGGTTGTCTCATTGGCAATCATACCACATCTCCCCATGTGTATGCTAGTACGTGTGGTTGCCTCATGGCAATCATACCACATCTCCATATGTGTATGCTTGTACGTGTGGTTGTCTCATTGGCAATCATACCACATCTCCCCATGTTTATGCTCGTACGTGTGGTTGCCTCATTGGCAATCATATCACATCTCCCCGTGTTTATGCTTGTACGTGTGGTTGTCTCATTGGCAATCATACCACATATCCCCATGTTTATGCTAGTACGTGTGGTTGTCTCATTGGCAATCATACCACATCTCCCCATGTTTATGCCAGTACGTGTGGTTGTCTCATTGGCAATCATACCACATCCCACCATTTTTATGCTAGTACGTGTGGTTTTCTTATTGGCAATCATACCACATCTCCCCATGTTTATGCTTGTACGTGTGGTTGTCTCATTGGCAATCATACCACATCTCCCCATGTTTATGCTAGTACATGTGGTTGTCTCATTGGCAATCATACCACATCTCCCCATGTTTATGCTTGTACGTGTGGTTGCCTCATTGGCAATCATATCACATCTCCCCGTGTTTATGCTTGTACGTGTGGTTGTCTCATTGGCAATCATACCACATCTCCCCATGTGTATGCTATTACCTGTGGTTGACTCATTGGCAATCATACTACATCTCCCCATGTGTATGCTAGTACGTGTGGTTGTCTCATTGGCAATCATACCACATCTCCCCATGTTTATACTAGTATATGTGGTTGCCTCATGGCAATCATACCACATCTCCCCATGTTTATGCTTGTACGTGTGGTTGCCTCATGGCAATCATACCACATCTCCCCATGTTTATGCTAGTACGTGTGGTTGTCTCATTGGCAATCATACCACATCTCCCCATGTTTATACTAGTATATGTGGTTGCCTCATGGCAATCATACCACATCTCCCCATGTGTATGCTTGTACGTGTGGTTGCCTCATGGCAATCATACCACATCTCCCCATGTTTATGCTAGTACGTGTGGTTGTCTCATTGGCAATCATACCACATCTCCCCATGTTTATGCTTGTACGTGTGGTTGCCTCATTGGCAATCATACCACATCTCCCCATGTTTATGCTTGTACGTGTGGTTGTCTCATTGGCAATCATACCACATCTCCCCATGTTTATACTAGTATATGTGGTTGCCTCATTGGCAATCATACCACATCTCTCCATGTGTATGCTAGTACACGTGCGTGTGCAAGTTAACATCAACAGACAAGAGTTAGGGTGATCACAGCTGTTTGTTGTCCATTTCAATATATCAACGCAGCAACTAGATTAACAAAAACAGAACAAAACTTTACCTTCTGATATTAAAATACTGCGTCCTGATGATTAGTATACACACTACTAACAGAGGTATAGAAATCATCACCTTTCGGAGAAAACCCATACTGGTCCAGTTAATGGTCCTCTTCATTCTCATGGCATACATGTAAATATGGTCACATTTCCTATACATTCAAAATCAATAATAAACTATTAAACATGCCGATGTCTTGTTTACTTTAGCATAATTGGGCCAAAGGAACTATAGGTTAGATAAACAGTTAAGCCTTATAAATGATTGGTGCCATGTGCCCTTTTGAATTTTTTGTTATCCTATTTTCTGTTTTGTTTTGTTTGTTTTTGTTTATTTTTCTGGAGGTGAAAAAAGGGGGGGCGGTTCTTGCCAACCTTTTTTAAAATCTGTTCTTATGTCGAACTGTTTCACCACTGGTCCGAATATATGTTAAACACCGTCACATCCTGAATGTGCATGTATGGAGTTTGAAATTCATTGGTTGTCGTTGGTTGCTGTTGTTTGTCTTTTTGTTGTTTTTCGTATTTTGCCATGATATTGTCAGTTTGTTTTCGATTTATGAGTTTGAATATCCCTTTGATACATGTATTTTTCGTCTCTCTTTTGTAGCCTGCTTTAAGTTCGAGTTCTTTTCGAAATAAATATAAAACTGCTTTTTACTACTTTAAGCGTCGTACTTTCAACGAATGAATGGCAGTACTAGTTAAGGCAGTGGTGTACATATATTATTGAAGAATTGAATTTATTTTTTTTTCTGAATTTTTACTGTGATTTAACGTTTGACTGAACACATTTTTATATGACGCGCTAACTTAAAAAGTGCGGACGTTCAACGCTTTTACAATCATATAAAATTATAAAATTAAAGAATCATTCAATTGTTAAATAACTATGCTACAACCAAGAAATTACGAGTTCAGTCAAGTTTTCCGTTTGTCTTTCTATTTATTGTTTTAACACTGTGACGGAGAGCAAGTGCAAGCATAGATATTGCATTTTATACGGAAATGAAATATTTAAGAAATGAATGCCTCTTTTTGTAATTTTATCGGGGTGTAAAAGTGTTGACCGAAGCACATTTTGTATGAAGCGCGGAAGCACGATCAACACTTTTACACCCCAATAAAATTACAAAAAGTATCATTCATTTCTTATAATTACATTTTAATGCTAATAAGACCATGAAAAAAGGGTTATCAAGTTTTTCTTTTATTCACCTGTGCACCTTTTTTTGTGGAAGCACGTGTCATCACGAATATAACATTTATTTTTGATATGAAGGTTAATTTTTGAATGACGCGCGATTGTTGTTAGCCAATCAAACTAACGAATTCTCGTGAAACATACATGTAATGTGATTATAACTTTTTGAATGCATCGGGCAATCAACATTACGGAGTCTTATGACATTTCTATGTAATGTAATTATTCTAAACAACAAATCAAAAATTAATGCTAAATGACGAAGGCATTCGGGATACATAGTATAAAGATGAGAAAGAATGTAACTTGTATAAACATGATCAAGTCGAAGAAATAGGGAAACTAATGGCTCACATGATCATACATTTCTCACTTGCCATTTTTGCAAAACGTAAAAAAATGGTAAATATTATCATTTTAGGAGTAGTTATTGCCCTTGAATTATGATTTTTATCCAGATATATATGGAGAATTCATTTGAAGCGAAAAAAATCAGCAGGACAAATTTGACCTAAATATCAACACGAACGAGATCGTCAGACGATTCGTTATAGTATTTAGTGCCCTTACATGACGTTTTTCTTTACTTGAGCATGAATTGAGTAGGACTATAAAATCATTATCAAAGATTCGCAGGACTACATGTATATCGTTATGTTCTGACTATAAAACTATGCAAGTTTATAAATATTGATTATTATTGATATAAATATGAGTATTCTTGTCATTCTATCGCAATGATACATACTATATGAATGTATATTGGACATTGTAAATATCATTAATTTGGAATAAAGTGGTATTCTTTAATATCGGCAAACTTCCCCTTCGCTTCATAATATAACAACCAATATATATTTAATTGTTGCTTATACTTTCCATTGACCTACATTCGGGCTATGAAGGTTGAAAAAGGGGAGAGGTAGATATGGACTGTTGGTTTGTTTATGGGAGATTCATAGAAACGTTACCAATCACTAAAATTTACAGAAATAAGGACACATGAAAAAAAACCCCGGAAAATGCTAAACTTTGTTTTCCTCTATTTCAAGTCCTGTTCGTCTCGAGATTTAAAAAATAAATGGCACCTTTCATGCGTGTATATAGAAGGATTGTTCATATATTTATGACCTGGACAACTTGACTAATGTTAGCTGCACAATTCTATTTTTTTTTATATGCATGATCCTCATATATATATAAACCAATGTGCGGTTTATATATAGAATTAATTATACAAAATTAAAACCTGGGTTAGGATGTCAGAAAAAATAGATGGAACGGATCACAGTCAAACTTGAGTATTTTTTTTTTTACAAATCACGTGAACAGGTTTTCTATGTGCCTGTCCCAAGTCAGGAGCATGTAGCTCAGTGGTTGTCGTTGGTTCATGTCTGTTAAATTTGTTTTTTCGTAAATTGTTTTGCTATTAGGCCGGTAGTTTCTCAATTGCATTGTTTCATATTTTTCATGTTGGGGCCTTTCATAGCCGATTATACGATATGTTTTTTTTTCTCAATGTTGACAGCCGTACGGTTACTTATAATCGCTTTTATTCCATATTGGTATTATTTTAGTAGGTTTCTCTTTATGAATTGGATTTTGAATAAAACAGCTTATTACATTGGTAGCATTGAATTACATTGATTTCCCAGTCAAATAAAAACCGATAATTTCACATGTGAAATAAACGTGGTTATTTCACTCTCTGACGTGACGTCATACAACAATAGGCGTTGTCAAGACGTCGATAACGTCGGATCAAAACAAATTGTGAATACGTAGAAAAAAGATATAGTTCCTTACATTTTCTACATTAATTTCATTAAAAAAAGCCATTTGCCAATGTAATAAAAAGAATAACTAATCAAAGAATTCAAATATCGAAAAATCTTCAACTCGTGACCGAACAACACTGATAATTAACTCATGCGCTACGCGCATTCGTGAATTAATGTGTTGTTCGGTCACTCGTTGAATATTTTACAATTACTGTCTTTTGATGAGGTAAATGTGTGGTTTTATTGACTTTTGAAAAACTGATATTCACTGAGGCCAACGGCCGAAGTGAATGTCACTAGGTTTTTCAAAAGTCAATTAAACCACATATTTACCGAAACAAAAGACAGTAATTGTTTTATTCCATGTTCCGAGACAGAAAATATGAGTAAAATAACAGTTATTTACCAAAAACAACTAAACGTCAAACATTGTATCGTTATTATACACGTAAAAGCACGCGACGTTTTGCGCGGTGAATATACTTTTTCCGCAGGTGAATATGCTTTTTATTCAAAATCCCATTCATATAGAAAAACCTACTAAAGTTCTATCAATATGGAATAATTTTCTCTATTTGAATTCTTCGATTAGTTATTCTATATAAAATATTCACCTAGAGAAAAGTTATATTCACCGCGCTAAACGTCACTCGCTTTTACATGTAACGTTATGGTAAAATGTTTGATGTACAATTGGTTTTGGTAAATATTTGTCATTAAATACATTGTTTTCTCTCGGAATATGGAATAAAACAATACTGTCTTTTGTTTCGGTAAATATGTGGTTTAATTGACTTGTTAAACACTGATATTCACTTCGGCCGTCGGCCTCAGTAAATATCAGTTTTTCAAAAGTTAATAAAACCGCACATCATCAATAGACAATAGTTGAAAAACATCCACTTCATTTGATCTATGGATTGATAGTTGTCTCATTGGCAATCATATCGCATCTCCTTATTTTTATATCAGTATAAAATTTGTATTTCTTCTACGTTATGTTGTAAACATATAGATTATATATAACACATGTTGTAACTAACTAAAAAAATGGACCAGACATTGGCTATGTAACATGTAAATCATCACAAACTTACAAAGATCTTTTCAACATTATAAATACTATATCAATGTATAGTGTAACCCCCCACCCCCCGGGGGGGGGGGGGGGAGGCTCACTATGTAATGAGTGGTAGGGATGTACCGCTAGAATAGGTCACTATTACGAGCTATGAATTGGTCGCAAAATTAAGGTAAAATATATGACAAAGTTGCTGATTATTTCATTAGTATCTGAAGTGATTAAAAGTTAAACCGCTGTCCGACTCAGTGTCGTAAATGCATTATATACATTATCTCTACAAGAAATAGAGCGATCATGATAACAACAGATAAATTTTTGTCTAAAAAAAATTAAATACTTGTATATTTGAGGGCCTATGTATTTTTTTGATATATTCAATATATATGAAAAATGTGGATACCCAGATTTCTCAGCTGCTCAAAAATGACCGAAGTGCCATCCCACCCTGAGAGCGTAATAACTATATGAATAAGAATATTTATTGTTCAAATTAGGGTCCTTGATGGACAGCACGCCATTCACATACACAAACCTTACACTATGATTTCGTAGCACATTATCACTTTTCACATGTAAAGGAAATGTTATTTACATGTATGTCCCATTAATCGATATATCTTACATGATTGTATAATCAACAACGTACTTACAAATGCGTCCTGTCTCGTTTAATTAAGAGTCGAAACAAACACACTGGCAAATAAAGTTATCATGTATCTGAATAATTCATTCATGGACATATCAATTTTATTTGTTTTCATTTCTAAGTATAAAAAAATACCCCATTTGAGCCTCGATAGTTTTATTTTCGTAGTTTGAGTTTACCTACATGTAAGTTTCGACCAAGTCATATGTAAAGTTGTGGTGCTCACACCAACTTTTATATATATGTTATAAGTGTAAATACAATTTAATAGCAATGATACATACCTTTTAATGCACTTAGGAATTTATTGAAATTTGAAATACACATATTGATCACACAACATGTCGACACGTCAATGCAGGACAGCAGGTAGAAATGGTGACTTTGTTTATCATGTTTATGTATAACTTATCTATAACCCAATAAAGGTTGTTTCCCTTAGATTGTTAAAATAGAATCGAGACAGTCAAACAAAATTTGGTCGACGGCTGCTTTTCATTTACTGACTTAAATACTTCAGTTATGTTCAATTATGGGACTTGACGGCAAAAATTCAAACTTTTCAAAACTACATGTATAGTTGATTACTAGAATATACAGTCAAACTGAGGTTATGTGTTACAATATATACCAAAAGGGGGAAGGGGGTATTGGGGAACTTGTAATGTAATTTGTAGTAGCAGTAGAGATGAGCCGCTGGAATAGCTCACTTTTTCGAGCTTAAAAATGTATGGAAAGGTCGAGATAAAAAGATAAAATATATCATTAGGTTGCTGATAAAATCAAAAGGTTCTGAAACTTATCAGATTTCGATATTTTTCACAGATGCAATTAAATACACATAACAGTCGGAAATACTTTGTCAAATATACTTTTCTCTCCATGAAATAGCATAAACATGATAATTTCAGATGTATGTTGTGTAAAATATATATGATAGGGTATGTTTTACTATAATTCGAAATATATGAAAAGGTTGGGGTACTGGATGTTTCGGCTGCTCAGTCCTACCAAAAAATATTGTAGTGGCCCTCAAGGAATAGGTAATATAGTTTATAAATGATGATAATACCCCGCAAATGTTTTTTTTACACAATGCACAGTAACTGTTGTATTGTGATCGACAAGAAAGCAAAGAACTCCCCTAAATTAAATTTAATCGGTCCTAAGTTTAGAACCGGCGAGTATTTGCTCTATTTTGAAGAGCTCATGGTGGCTTTAAGTAGAAGAACAGCAATACAGGCGCTGTATGTATTTACCTTTTTTTGTGCATGTATTAATGTTGTGTCATGACTAGAAAAGCTATATCCTTTCTATATAAATCAGGTGCGGATCCAGAATTTTGAAAAAAGGGGGGGGGGGGCTCTAGTTAACCAACGTGTTGACTGATGCTTGTAAAAAGTAAATGCAATTATCATATATATAGTGGGGGGGGCTGGTCCCTCCCTAAATCCGCTTCTGTATATATTGCATGTTTTCACGTATTTACCTTTTTTAAAATTTTTGTGTTTTCTATATTACGACATTTAGAGAAATAATTACTAATACATGTTATGCATATAATTGTATCAAAAAACTTATTGTGGTAAACTACCAATCCGTTTTCGACGCAGATACGTCAGAGAGGACTTTGTTCGACCATTCTATTCAAAAGCTGAATCGACAGTTCAAACGGTAAATCTTTATGATACATGCAGTCATTTATTGTTATACAGTCAGTCGCATATTGTTTGCTGAAATGCGTGAGGTGATGAACGTATGCGCTCTGGAAGGCAAAACCGTTCCTTTTTCAAATGCATCGTGTTGGTCATTGCAATTTAAAAAGTCGATGATAATTTATGTATAGTGATCTCACAGTCAAGGAAAAGAATGATGTTTTAGATAAAATTAGATTTCGAATGCCCCTTTGTTTAGAGACTTCTTTGTCAATTTTAACAGCACATATAACTTGAATTTACCTTTTTAGTTAATTCTTATTCATATAGTACTTTTTGGTTAAATTACCTTTTCATTACTTTCCAGAATATTTACCTGATATTTATTAAAATGTCTATTATTTATAACTTTTTTATGGAAGTTCGGGCTGATAACCATTAATGTATAAGAGATATCGAAAGCATTTTGACTCCGAGTGAACCACGAGGTATAGAAATTAGAACTTTCTTCTCAACTAAGAGAAACGACAATTGCACACATGTTTTTTGTGGTTATGCGGTATGCTCATGTATCAAATACGTAACCATTTCTTTGGATCGAACGTAAGTAGTGGACCAGTCAAATGCGAATGCCACGCTCCTTCCACTGAAATGACCACTAAAGCATCATTCGTGATTAGGTGCATTTACGGTTATTGCAGGCGCTAAATTGTCTGACCCTACACAACTCTCTTTGGTTTATTATTTGAATGCCTACACCTTTTGATCTTCCGACGAAATACAGGTAAAAAAAAGGGCACAGGACGTTTGCGCTTTTTTACCAGTAACACGGTAGGACATTTGCGCTCCAAACACTATGGACATTTGCGCTTTAAATTTTGATACACCTGTACTAAATTGACCGGACATTTGCGCTTTTTACCTGTTGTCGTCTACTTGTAATTGTAATGAATTGTAATCATTACGTAAATAAATTCAACTTATATTTGTCGTTGGTTAGTTCACATTGACACAGTCTTAAACACAGAGTTTAAAGTTAAAGATTAGTAAAGAAAAAAAAAATGTATATGTCATGATGGAGTGTTTTCATTGAACAACCGTCGGTTAGTTACATCAAAATTCGTCATATTGATAAACAGGGCCCTCAGTCAAGAGTTGAGAAAAAGAGCTAGAATATTCATTTGAAATGTGGGCGAAATACCAGTCAGGACAGATTACAAGATCTAAATTTGTTCATTCCCTGAGCTTCAGATATCAAGCGAAAACTGACCTGTGGTGACTTTACGCGTCTTTATGTCTTTAGAATGTTTACTTTTAGCTATATATAACTATATCAATGTGCCATGAAATGACTTTTAAACACGAATGTGCTATGAAATGACTATTAAACTTTTAACCAATATTAAAATTATGACTTTAACTCTGCCAGGTCAAACCTACCGGTCCTAAGACCGGATAAAATAGGAGGAAAGTCATAAGAAGCAAATACTGTAAAAACGCAAATGTCCTATATAAAAAGCGCAAATATCTATTTTTAAAAAGCGCAAATGCCCTTTAAAAAAAGCGCAAATATCCTATGAAAAAGCGCACACGTCCCGCGCCGAAAAAAAATGTAGACATTCAAGGAATAGTATCTTATTAAAATTAAGTGTAGTCAAAACAAACAGTAATTATAATCTGTGCAGGTAATCTGAGTTTCCAAATTAAAATTTCAGGTAATATTTTTATTTTCCCGTTTGTTTGCAATAAATTAATATTTTGTATTTTTTCTGTATGTTTGCAATGATTTTTTTAAGGAATTATAAAAAACACTCTTCTTTGACAGCTCAGCAAATATTAACGAAAGATAACTAAAATAAGGAATATATATTTATTCGTGTTCAATTGATCAAGAATATAGATAATATATATATTCATGATAAGAAAAACAGCATAAAAATATCAAAGCACTTGTCACTATCACAAATAAATAAAGCATACATGTCTTTGAAATTTACAACATGAATAGTCACATAGTGCCATCACAAGTATACACTAGTATATTGTCAATTAAGTCCAAATGAAGGAGGTATGTAACAGCATTTACAAACTGAACTGTCGAAATCTCTACGTTCTGGTGTCGGATCTTTAGGTTGAAGAGTCTATCTTTAATTTTCCTGTATTTTCGCTTATTGGTTTGCTCATACATTAAATATTTCTATGAATAATACTTTGAAATTTGAATGATTTTTGTTTATAAATGTACAATTTTAGTCTTGGATGCATGATTTTTTTATTAGTTGTTATTGGCTTTGAACTTGCTGTCCATAACTGCGAGTACTCTCAGATCTGTACTTAGTGTCTTTTTTTGTGGGGATATATAAGTACCCTGCCACGTCAACTCTGTGTTTTTGTTAGATGTATTTCTGCTTTGTATCCATCTGATGAGTGAAGTACTTTTCAACTGATATTTATAGTTTGTTCTTATGTTGTCCTGTTACACCAAAGTCCCAGGTTAGGGGAGGGTTGGCGCCTTCAAACTAGTCTAACCCCGCCACATTCTGCATATACCTGTCCCAAGTCAGGAGCCTGTATTTCAGTTGTCGTTTGTTGCTGTATATCATATTTGTTTTTCGTTCATTATTGTGTATACACATAAATCAGGCCGTAAGTTTTCTCGTTTGAATTGTTTTACATTTGTCATTTCGGGGCCTGTTATATGTGGTATGGGTTTTATTCATTGTTAAAGGCCGTACGATGACCTATAGTTGTTAATTTCTGTGTCATTTGGTCTCTTGTGGAGAGTTGTTTCACTGGCAATCATACCACATCTTCTTATTTTTATATTTAAACAGTCGTTCTTTCATTTATATGTTTCAATTTTAATTTCTTACTTTGAATTTTAATATTATTTTTCTTATTATTAATCATTAACTTAAAAACTTAATATTCCATTTCATTTAAGTTAAATTTTTATTTAAAAGAAAAGATATTTTTAAGGTGAAAAATAATTTTCACCTAAACTATTTTTGTTCTAAAACAACACCAATTTATTAAAACAACATCTATTCATTTTTTTTGAAGGCATTCGAGGAATAGATATTGTATAAAATGTAGGCATTCCAAGAAGACACCCTCTCATTATCTATTTCTTACAGTCACTTGAGCTTTCACGGTCGAATACGATCAGTTTGAGGTACAGCAGTGCTCTATAAACAGAGCATTTAATCTTATGAAAAATGTATTAGCTGATTAACAATTAATCAAAACAATGAAATCTTTTTTTACTCAATCATGCAATGGGATAGCTTTTGTTTGTGTTTTTTATAACCCACTAGATGTGTCGTATTATTTGAGAAATTTTATCAATGTAATATGGAATGTGTTTGAAAAGATCTAATTAATCGTTGAAAGCACAGTGATTGATTGATTGATTACTTTATACTTAACATCCAGTTGCAAGTTCTGGATGAAAACACATTAAAAATACATTCAATAGTTATGTTCTGCAAAGTGGTTCGATCGGAAGGAAGGGCGTGAAATTTATTCTGCTATTGGAAATATGTATCACGGTAAGTGACAAAAAGCTGTCTGGCAACAGGCTGTTCACCTACAGACGCCTCAAAGTGTTGTTGTACTGGTTCGTAGACGTGCAATGCGCGCGACAATATCCCAATACGAGGCATTGGGTTTAACTTATCCGTTCTAATGGTACATGACTGAATATTTATACATTCTACACAACCAGATGGACACCTCTCTGGTTTGGGTTTTACAACCGG